AGATTAGATTAGATTAGATTAGATTAGATTAGATTAGATTAGATTAGATTAGATTAACAGAGTTGGAAGGGAGTTGAAGTCCATAAGTCTTAAACAAGCAAAGTTTGAAGACCCTTGCCCTACACCATTTCTGAGAAATGGCAGTCCAATCTCCTCCTGAAAGCCTCCAGTGATGAAGCTCCCACTACTACTTCCAAAGGCAACTTCTGTTCCATGGGTTGACTGTTCTCACTGTCAGAAAATTTTTCCTCATTTCTAGGTGGCTGGTACAGAATACAGCTACGTGGGCAGTTCTAGGCACACGGTAGCATGGCCTGCATAACAGTCCTGTTGTGTGAGCTGTACTGAGGCCCAATTTGCTTCTGGGTCCCATTCAAAGTGTTGGTGATCTTTTTTAAAGCCCTTTGCACCATAGGTCCAGGTTACCTGAAGAACTACCTCACACTAATGGGTTTGGCTCACACCCACTCACTCTGGCACAAGGAGCACAATGTGGACTCCATCAGTCAAGAAATTCCAGCTGGTGGGGTCCAGGAGTAGAGCCTTTTCTAGCATGGCCCTGTCCTCTGGAACATTTTGTCCAAGGTGAGTTTGGTCCCTACCCACTTGGCTTCTGGAGGGGCGTTAAACCTTTAAACCAGACCTGAGGTTTCCTGATGCAGACATTCCATACAGGAGGTGGTTAGTGGGTTTCTACCAAAGTTTTTCCTGCAAAATTATTTTTTAAAAAGGAATTGGTTTTGTTTAAATGAAGTGCGATTGCTAGAATAATGATTTTGATCCAACGGTTGAAATCTCTGGTGTGTTCTTTGTCAACTCGTAAAGCATTCCTATGCCTGTTTTCGAGTTGCCATAAGCGGGCGGGGGGAACCTGAAGGAACAGGAAGGCAATTAAAACCAGAAGTACATTCCATGCTTATCTTACAAAAATTGTAGCCTAGGCTACCGGATCTTCTGCCCCGAAAATCTTTCATTGGAGAATGCGATTGATGACACCCAGCCCGTGAATGTGCTTCATTGGAGAATCTGATTTATAACACACCAGGGGAGAGGGGGGGAAACAGGATCACAGGTGACCATGAATTACGTGTGGCAGAGTTGGCTTCATGTGGATCAGTGCCGACATGTTGCTCCTAATAAATCTTTTGAATTCCTTTGAAGCTTGGCTCGAGGCTCATGATTTAATTAGGGCAATCGCCGGAACCCTGACATTCTTCTTTTGCACTTTTTAAAATTGACCTAGATAGCTCTGGGCATCAAATATGTTTTAATATTCTAATTCAGAGGTTCCCAATCTTTTCTATACCCTGCACCCCTAGAATGCTTCTGATATATTCTCGTGCCCCTTAAAAAATAATTATATACATATAATTTTGAAACTTCTAAACCCAAGTTGTCTCACCCCCTAGAATATCATCTTACACCCCCAGGGCATGCAAGCACCCCCAGTTTGGAACTCTTGTGCTACTTCGTTTACCTAGGCATATCTGCCCTCCATGGTCTCCGTAGTACCGCTTTCCACATGACAAGACGCACTGGGATTCCAGGAGCAGGAAGGGAGCCAGGCAGCGCACGCATTTCCCCGGCCCATCACACTGGAGACAGTGGTCATCGTCGCATCCTGAAAAGCCCCATAAGAAACTCAGGAAGGCATATTTCCTGACTTACATAGGATACAGCGATACATTCTGTGCTTTTCTCACTCCTTAAGAACCAGGACAGCAAACACAGTCAAATACTAGATGAAGAAAAGGTCAAGATGAATGTCAGCATTCCAACTAATCAACCTCCAAACCAATAAACTCTGAGACAAACATTTTCTCAAAGTTCCATTTTATTAGAGTTGTCATATTGGGACTGTCAGATTCGGGTTTTCCCTTCCTAATAGAAAGTCAAAGATCCAACCCCTGCACCCACCAGTCCATCACATGGCCCAATCAAACTTTGTCCCAACTGGAGACATCCCTCCAGGTGCAGGGAAACATGTCCTTGAATGTTGTTGTGTCTAATCTTCCACCTCTCTATGAAATCCCCCCTCCCAAATTCCCAGGCACTGAATTTATTTGATTTTTTATTTTATTTGGTTTGTCAATCGCTTACAAGATAATAGGTATAAGTAAAAACATAGTTATGAATACATGGATACATATAAGAAAAATAAGAGAAACAATAGGACAGGGACGGTAGGCACGTTGGTGCGCTTATGCACGCCCCCTACAGACCTCTTAGGAAAGGGGTGAGGTCAATAGTAGACAGTCTAAGGTTAAAGTTTTTGGGGTTTGGGGAAGAAACCACAGAGTCAGGTAGAGTATTCCAGACATTGACCACTCTGTTGCTGAAGTCGTATTTCCTGCAATCAAGTTTGGTGCGGTTAACCTTGAGTTTGTATCTATTGTTTGCTCTTGTATTGTTATGGTTGAAGCTGAAGTATTCATTGACAGGTAGGACATTGCAATGTATGATTTTATATACTATACTTAGATCGGACCGAAGGCAGAGTAATTCAAGGTTTTCTAGGTCTAGAATTTCAAGTAAAATATGGCTTCCAAGTAAAACATGGCTTCCAAAGCTGACAATGAACTCAACTCCTGATGACTACAACCATGATGGTGTCTTAGCAGCATTATGAAATTAGCTGGCACTCCCATTTTCAAGAGGTTTCAAATTTCCAGTATCTCCCATTCAAATCCCAGTCAATGCCAATGTCATTTTTTGCCTCAGTCCCATTACAATTTTCCTTTGGGCTCACTAATTCTAAGAGTCTTGGTGCTCTCTGTGCTTGGTTGTTGAATCAAGCTCAGAGAGCACCAAGGACTCCAGAGTTCAACCCATAAGTGCATTCTCTTCTGTAGGAATCACTTATTCCAGGCTTCCGAGATGCTCCCTGTTGGCATTTGAAGATGTTCCCGTGAGACATGCTCCATACAGAACCCAAGTGCCTTCTTATGCTATATATCATCCATGCCATCCTTCCCAAGCCTGTGTCTCCCAGATATATTTTAGGAATAAAGCTTCAAGGAATTCCATCTAATATACTGGGTGGAAATATTTGGAATTGTCCTAACACATTTGGAGGGAGGGAGATTTGAGGAAGTTGATAAGACTGGTTCTCTGATTTATGTATATAAATTAGAAGTGGAAAGCAAATAACAGTTTCGGTCCACGTCACGATGGAGATCAAGGGCAATCTTGGTTCTCCAATAGAGGAACATCCAACCCTTGGTTCAATCTTGACCTGAGATGGAGTATCAGCCTGTTGCCTGAGGTAGGAGGACAATCCACTGCTCTCCCAACCATGCTGCTACATCTCATTGACTGCATTACCACTCAACCTAAGGAGACCTATTTCATGATACATCACTTAGAGCAGTGATCCCCAACCTTTCTTATGCCGCGGCCCGGTATCCCCAACCTTTTTTATGGCGTGGCCCGGTACCGGCATTAGCTGGGCGCCGCCATCTTTTTTTGATGAAAAAGTGCTTCCGGTGAGCTTTCTACCTGGAAAAGCTCACCGGAAGCACTTTTTCATCAAAAAAAGATGGTGGCGCCCAGCAAACCAGCGGCCCGGTAGGACTTGTTCCACGGACCGGTCCCGGTCCGCGGACCGGTGGTTGGGGACCCCTGACTTAGAGAATTCCCATATGAGCTTCAAGATGGCTTAGACAGCAACACCCTACTCTTGAGGGCCACATCTTTTGTAGCTCCTCCTCCAAATGACAGACTAGGAGAGCATCAAGTAAAGGTTTGGACACTGTTGCCCCAGGTGCTTATTACGAGAGGCTGCTTCATTAGGCAGAAGAGTTGAGCTGGTCCTTTGGAGACATTCCCTATCCAACGATTACAGGTAGCCACAACTTACCACCACAATTGATCCCAAAATTTCTGTTGTTAAGTGAGACAGCGGTTCAGTGAATTTTACCCCATTTTATGACCTTTCTTGCCACAGTTGTTAAGTGAATCCCTGAGGTTGCTAAGTTAGCAACATGATTGTTAAGTGAATCTGGCTTCCCCATTGCTTGTCAGAAGGTCGAAAATCAGAAGGTCAGATGATCATGCAGGTCACGTGACCCCAGGATTCTGCAACCATCATAAATATGAGTCGATTGCCAAATGCCTGAAATCTGACTGTGGGAATACTGCAACAGTTTTAAGTATGAAAAATGATAAGTCTATTGTGGCCTATTGGCCACCAGCCCCTCCAGCAACCAAATCAGAGGAGGAGGAGGAGGAGGTGTGGGAGTCAGGGTCGCCATCAAGGCAACCTGGGAGTTCTGAGAGGGAAGAAAGAACGGAGCTGGCAGAGAGAGAGAGAGAGAGAGAGAGAGGTGGAGCCTGGGCCATCCGTCAGCCTTCAGATGGAGAGGCAACAGCTCCCCCACGTCTGGAGGTGACTGATGAGGAAGAGGAGAAATAGCTGGGCCCAGTGCCTGACACACAGATGCCCAGAAGGCAGAGGAGAGGAGAGCAGTGGAAATCTATGGGCCGGACCTTGGGATGGAAGAGCCACCGCTGCTCGCAAAGCCCCACCCTAGATCTGGGGATAAAAGGCAGGGGGTAGAGATGAATAGGTGTGGCAAACAACTATTCATTTTCCAACCAGATGGACTTGTTAGCCTGCAGTGAGAGAGAAACTTTTTTGCCAGGGCTGCCAGCGCTCCTAATAAAGGAATCTTTTGAGTTCACATCAGAGGGTTTGTCATGTTTGGGGTGCTGAGTCAGAACAAAATCGCTTTTTTTCAATGCCGTTGCAAACGGTCACTAAAAGAACTGTTGTAAATCAAGGACTGTAGTGGATTTAAAAAAACCCGGCAACTGTTTGTTTTGATTTCTGACCTATGCCCTCTCAAGATGATCGCACAAAATGGTACCCTTAAGACCCCTGTGCCGAGATATCAAGACTTACTTTGACATGTTTCAGATTCCCTGTAAAATGCCGGCAGACAATGCTCAACGCAGGTTCCCTGCTGGAGAAAATATCCCTCCATGCACTGCAGGCAATCCGTACGGTTGGGGCCGTGGCAAGCGTTGCAGCTCCAGTCGCACTCTGGAATCAGACAATAAAAAGAGAGCGTCCCGCACAGAGCCACCTTTATACCACCCCGGTTTCATCCATCACACCGGTACCGTCTGCAGATGCACTGAAGGGCAAAGGAAGAACAGCCGAACAGATGTGAGACCCGGGAAGAGACGTCAAAAGAGATGGTCTTAAAATAACACAAATTCTTCCCTGGAGTTTCACCATTTTTCCCAATTATGTTAATACAATCGTGGCTGTTCTTTTCCCAGCAGTCCAGATAAATGAGACACGATATCCGTCCTCCCTAGTGGCTAGAGTAGTGATCAGCCCACGTGGGCCAGCCCAGGGAAGCCATCAATCTTTTCTCTCTCAATGACAGAGGCCTGTGGGATTTCCGCCACAAACGCGGCTAATTAAGCAGCCAGATTAACAAGGAAGGTGACATTGCCTCTGAAGTTCAAACATGGTTTTCAGAAAAGAAAATGGGGTGAAGTGGATCGTGGGAAGAGCACAAGGTTCATCTTTGTCTCGCCTTCATGAAATTAAGCAACCGAGTGGACAGGTGGTTAAGAATATATTTTTTTAGGACAGTCAGGTACGGTTCTGTTCAAACAGATTGCACCTCCACAGCCATGTGTGGTCTACAACTCCACTTTCTGTAGCCTCCAGAGCAGCGTTTCTTAACCTTGATAATTTTAAGAAGTGTGAATTTCAACTCCCAGAATTCCCTAGCTAGCATGAGACTCTTTTAAGAGATGTGGATTTCAATTCTTAGAATTCAACTCCCAGAATTCCCCAGCCAGCATGAAACTCTTATAAGAGGTCTGGATTTCAATTCCCAGAATTTCAATTCCCAGAATTCCCTAGCTAGCATGAGACTCTTTTAAGAGGCACGGATTTCAAGTCCTAGAATTTCAATTCCCAGAATTCCCCAGCCAGCATGAGGCTCTTTTAAGAGGTCTGGATTTCAATTCTCAGAATTCAATTCCTAGAATTCCCTAGCTAGCATAGGACTCTTTTAAGAGATGTGGATTTCTATTCCCAGAATTTCAATTCCTAGAATTCCCTAGCTAGCATGAGACTCTTTTAAGAGGTGTGGATTTCAATTCCCAGAATTCCCTAGCTAGCATGAGACTCTTTTAAGAGGTCTGGATTTTGACTCCCAGAATTCCCCAGCCATCATGATACTCTTTTAAGAGGTGTGGAATTCTGGGAGTTGAAGTTCACACCTATTAAAATTGTCAAAATTGAGAAACACTGCTCTAGAATTTCCACCGACTCTCCTGAATGAAATTAACAGGACCCTTTTCCAACTCTTGACATAACCCTAAAATACAGGTAGTCCTCGACTTATGACCACAAACTGCTAAGCAAGACAGTTGTTAAGTGAGTCATGTCTGGTTTTATGTCCTTTTTTGCCGTGTTTGTTAAGCAAATCACAGCAGTTAAATGAATCATGTGGGTATTAAAACAAATCTGGCCTCACCCATTGGCTTTGCATGCCGGAAACCAGCTGGGAAGGTCACAAATGATGATCACATGACCCAGGGATGCTGCAACCGTTGTAAATACATGCTAGTTGCCAAGCGCCCAAGTTTTGGTCACGTGACCAAATATTGCTGTGATGATTGAAAGCATGACAACCAGTTTTAAGGCACTTCTTTCAGTGCCGTTGTAACTTTGAACAGTCACTAAAACGAATGGTTGAGGACTACCCATAACTTAAACAGCATCCAACTTTGGGGGGTGGGGGAAATAAAGAAGGGGAATAAAAATTCCACCTCTTGTCCACTCCAGACCTTCCTAGTTTCTACCTTGTTCCTTGCAATTTTCTGAGTCAGAAAATTCGTATGAAATAAAGAAACAGAGAAATTAAAAATGGCTTCCCACCACAAAAGAGGTTGCCTATAGAAAGTTTCCTTCTGTTTTCTTGGAGATAGCAGCTTGGTTGAGAGAAAATGGAGGAGGAGGAGGAGGGAGGGGGGAGAAGGAGAGGGGGGAGGGAAAAGAAGAGGAGGAGGAGGAGAAGGACGAAGAGGGGAGAGACCTAGAGGAGGAGGGAGAAGAAGAGGAGGAGGAGGGAGAAGAGGAGGGAGAAGAAGAGGAAGAGGAGGAAGAAGAAGAGGAAGTGCTGGTGAAGGTTTTTAGAGCTTTTTGGAAGACAACATTAAAAATCATCTCTTTGATAAGAAGCTGTGATAAGCAGAAGTGCAGAGAAGTTCTTTGGAGCTCTCTGCCAAATTCTCAGCATTTCACCTAGGACAGCTTATCTCAGCCCCTGCAATAACCATTTGGAATGCCAATTCAACACTATTATTTTAACATCTGGTTCAATATTACTATCAGGATAACAACAATCCAATGCACTTTCTCTAGATGCAAAGAAGGACATTTATTGGACGTTAAGGTAGAAGAAGATTGTCTGTGTGGATTCTCAATCATCCAGGTCGTAGTTGTTCCAAAAGTGATTTTCAAAAGGCAAATGGTTTTTTTTTTCCCCTTGAAAACATTTCGCTTCTCATCCAAGAAGCTTCTTCAGTTTTGGAAAAGGAGGTTGTTGGATGTGGAATTTAGATGAAAGCAAAAATAAGGCGTCCCTGGGATTCGGGCCTAGATCAATTTTTGACCCCTTGGCCTTGTTTTACGTCTTCGGCCAACTACAATGAATTCTAGATTCCATTTTGTTCCAACATATTCATTTCCTGAGCTACCAAATTTCACAAATAAAGAGGCCTTTATTAATCAGAGGGTCTGCTCCTTATTTTCATCGTGTGGCAATGTTGACCTTGATTGTTAAAAAGGAATAAGATCAAGGTAGCTAATTATGAGATAAGTCATTAAAGAAGATGGAAAGAATTTCTCTTGGATAATATATTTATAATGCAATTTTGTTCGGGTCAGAAAAGGGCAAGACCCCAATCTTCTTCTGATAGTGGATTTTCTTTCTTGGAACATGACACCAGGACCTGGCTGGCTCTCTTGGTGGGTCTTCAAAGACCTCTACTGAAGGACACTTGCAACATTTCTAGAAAAAAATATATGAAACAAGTTGAGTTTTAATCTATACAACCAGTTAACCCAGTTTGGTGTTGTGGTTACGGTGCTTTTCCTAGAAACCAGAAGACTCTGAGTTCTAGTCCTGTCTTAGGAATGAAAGCCAGCTGGGTATGTTTGGACCGATGACCAGGAGACAATGAGTTCTAGTCCCACTTAGGCATGAAAGGCGATTGGTTGATTTTTGAGTCAATCACCAAAAGACTGTGAATTCTAATTCCGCCAATCACACTCTCTCAACCCAACTCACCTCACAGGGTTGTTGTTATGGGGGAGAAGAGGAGGAGGAAGGAGTATAAGGTATGTTCACTGCCTTGAGTTACATATAAAAGTAATAAAAATGGGATAAAAATCTAATAAATAAATGAACCAATTTTGAGGAGAGGAGAGGAATGGGGAAAGGAGAGTCAAATCGTAAAGCATTCCTATGCCTGTTTTCCAGTTGCCATAAGCAGGAGGAGGGGAAATCTGAAGGAGCAGTAAGGCAATTAAAACCAGAAGTACATTCCACACTTATCTTACAAAGATTGTAGCCTAGACTACCGGATCTTCTGCCCCAAAAAATCCTTCATTGGAGAATGTGATTGATGACACCCAGCCCGTGAAGGTGTTTCATTGGAGAACCTGATTTATGACACACACGGGGGGGAGAGGGGGAAATAGGGTCACAGATGACTGTAAATGACGTGTGGCAGAGTTGGTTTCATATGGGTCAATGCTGACATGTTGCTCCTAATAAATCTTTTGGATTCTTTTGAAGCTTGGCTCGAGGCTCATGATTTAATTAGGGCAATCACCGGAACCCTGACAAGGAGAGGAATGGGGAGAGGAGAGGAGAGAGGAGAGGAATGGGAAGAGGAGAGGGATGGGGAGAGGAGAGGAGGTAATTGAGGGATTTACAAAGTTAAATTCATTCATCATTCAAGTAACCATTGAGCAGAGCAAACAATAGCAAACCCTTGGCCAGAATTTACCCATGGCAGCAAGCATGTGTGGCTGTGAATGTCATGTACAGGTAGTCCTTGACTTACAATTGAGCCTAAAATCTATGTTTCTAAGCAATACAGTGGTTAAGTGAGTTTCGCCTCCTTTTCTTTCGAACTTTCTTGCCACCATTGTTAAGTGAATCACTGCAGGTGTTAAGTTAGTTGGGTTAGTTCAGTGAATCTGGCTTTCCCTGTTGACTTTGCTTGTCAGAAGGTCACAAAAGGGGATCACACGACCCCGGGACATTGCAACCGTCATATGAAAGTTGTCAAGCGTCTAAAATTTGGTCATGTGACCATGGGGATGCTGCAACGGTCGTAAGTGTGAAAAACGCTCACAAATCACTTTTGTCAGTGCTGTTATAACTTCGAACGGTCACTAAATTGTTGTAAGTCGACGACTACTTGTACGTAAGTGTGCATGGGTGGCCGCCAAGTGTTGTGGTTAGCCGACAGCAGGTGTGGAAGGCTGAGGAGAGCGAGGACTCAGATGAGGGGCCAGGACCATTAAGGAGTGGACTGCTGACTTCAGAGGTTGTGGGGGCTGGCAGCAGCGATGAGGAGGTTCCCAAGGAGCCTGTGCTAAGTGTGCATGAGTGCAGGATTGCTTGGAGGAAAGAGCAGTTACAACAACACGGGCGGCTCGGGAGTAAGGCTGCAAGGTAATGGCCCCTCCTTCAAGAAGATAAAAGCCAGCTGTGAAACTAACCTTCTTTGCAGAAGGCAAAGACGCTTTGAAACCCCAGCTTTGTGGACATTCCAGTATCCTGAGTTTGTATTTGAAGATTCTTATTTTGCAAATTATTTCTTATCTGTTATCTTTTTGGCAAGTCTCGCACAGTTTGGCAAGGCTTGTGCTTATCACAGCTAATTATTTTGTAACAGCATTATAAGGTTTCTGTTCTTTTTGAATTGTGTTTGATTTGTCGGAAAACGGCGTGGGTCAGAACACCAAGTGGGAGACAGGACTGAAGAGAAAGGGCTTCAATATGGAAGGAGAGAGAGAGACAGGGAAGGGAAGAGAGCCCATAGGTGGATTCAGGCAGACCACTGAAACGTCATTGTTACTAAGATTCAACATGGACATTTGGGGAATTCCCTTTACCTTTGCATGTCCTGGTAGACAAGTCAAGGAAATATTGCGATGGACATTTATCATACTGGCACTCTCCAAACAGTAAGACTTTGGATGGGTCTTTGCAAGAAGTACAGTGGGATCTCGAATCACAACTCAGACACGAATCACTGCAAGCTGGAGAGAAAGATAAAACATCAAGACTCATCCGATTTCACATTAAGAACTGAAGCTATAAGAGTTAAGAATTAGAAGTTCCAAATCTTCATTTCAAATAACCCTTCAGCAGTCTTTCTATGGGGACAAGTCACAATACAGAGATTTCTAAAAAAAGAAAACCAAATTACCGAGCTACATCATATATAAAACACTTTGGATAAGTCAAAGAATTATACGAAGTAGAGGTGCACTATTTATATGAAGCCAAGTTTTTCATTTCATTATTGACCAACATAGCATGGAGGACAGTCCTGGACCAAAAACGTAGCATAGCTTTAAATTTCATTCATTAAGCAGGGAATGTGATTACCTTCCTGTGTAATAATAATACATTTCTTTTTGGGGGGTACGTGAACAATGAAATGCTGGCAACTTTAAGACATGACATGTGGACTTCAACTCCCAGAATTCTTCAGCCAGCCATACTGAGGAATTGTGGGAGTTGAAGTCGACAAGTGTTAAAAGTTGCCAAGATTGAGAAACCCTGGCCAGGACAGCATAACCCAACCTGTCTAGGAGATATTTTAACAGGGAAGGCATCCATACTGATGATACTAAACTCCAACAACTTCACCCAATAGTTTTACATAAATGTGAAATAGAGAGTTTGATGCGTCAAACTCTCAGGCACCACACAACCGAGGGGCCGTAGATGTGATTTCTCCCCTCCTTAACACCTGGATTGGAACAGACTCCTCAATGCTGACTGGAACACACTACTGAGGAATGAGATGAACCATTGATCCAGATTTCTTCCTGACATGCTAGATTGGCATCCACAAGGGAAGACTGACAGAGAGCCACATTTAAACATAAACACAACAGTGGATTTGAAGCAATGCAGGTCTGAGTGTAGGAGATGACCAGGCTGAGCCCGAGGGAGGAGTCAAACATGTCATCAGTCATGAATCTCTCCATGCCCACAAGAGATCTAAGTCCAGCCCACCTCAAATTCCCTTGACTCTTATTGACTGTTAATTTGTTTTGGCTGTTAGTAGTTCAGATTTTTGTAGAGAGCTTAAGTTCGCAATAAATCTTTACAACTATTTGAAGTGAGTGAAACTTCTGATTTTCCTGACACTCAGAAATCTAGAGCAGATAGCATCCTGCAATACTTTAACATAGTCCCAGAGGTGCTTTTTCAAGAGGCAACTGGACTTTCTGGTTTTTCTTTGAAGGCGTTTCCCACTTCTTATCCAAGAAGCTTCGAAGAAAAACCAGAAAGTCCAGTGGCCTCTTGAAGAAGCACCTTTGGGACAACTGTGACCTGGATGACTGAGAATCTCTATAGACAGTTTAAAATAGTGTTCCCCAAACTTGGCAACTCTAAAAAAAGTGTGGACTTCAACTCCCAGAATTCCTGGCTGGGAAAAACACATCTTAAACTTGTAAGGTTAAGAAACACAGCTTTAACAAATTAATTAACAGAATAGATCAAACAAAAATAGAGTGGTGCAGTGGACTAGATATGGAGCTGTTGTCTCACAATCAGGAGGCTGTGAGCTTGATTCTAGGTAGAGTCTGATATTTTTCTTTCTGGGCAAAATGAGAATATATCTGTTGAAAAAAAACTCTGCATTGGCGACAGGAAGGGCATCAGGCCAGTAAATACTCAGCTCCATTCGGTTGTCTATACTCCATCCTGCAAGGGATTATGGGGTTGTTAAAAGAAGACAATAGATCAAACAAGAATAAACACACAAGCTCTTTTGAGTTAATACAGCTTCAAAGTGATCACAGTTAAAAACTAAACCTTCTTCTCTCCTAACTTTCTTTCTTTAAATTTAAGGACACAGAATTCCACGCTGCCTGCCCACTTCTCTCAATGGAATCCATCCTATAATATCGCTTGTATCTAATTTTCTATGCCATAGCATCTCATTCACTTTATCAATTCCAGAGAGTGTCACAAGGCTTAATTAATTAACAACTGTAACATTAAGAAGATATGTGGATTAACAGAGCGAAGAAACGGCTAATAATGAGATGCATTACCATTTACCAACTTCAAATATACCAGTGACATATTATTCAAAACGGCGGCATAAAAGCAATATAAAATGTACAGTGTAAGCTACCTAGATTTGTCTGAGGTGCACGTTTACGAGAACCACTTTGATATAAATGTTTGGGATTCATTGCAAGCCTGATTTCGGCAGTCTCTTTTAATTGTACCTTTCTCAGCCTATGTTATGCCCTTGTTGGAGTCTGACTCTGAGGGGGAAATTGAGGAGCTGTCAGGAAGTGGGAGTGCGGCTCTGGTAGCTGTGGAAGAAACAGGGGAAGAGCACAGTCCGGCTGGGCATTCAGAGGAAGACCCAGGGCCATCCCCTCTTCATCCTAGGGCATGCAGGGAGGACGGAGAAGGGAGCAACATGTCTTATGGGAGAGGAAAAGGCCCTGATCCCTTTTATTAGTTGCAGCTGAGAGAACAGGATATAAGTGGGGCATTTTAAATAGCTCTTTGCTGGAAGCAAAGCGTGCTTTATCTTGGTCGAGGCTTATCTGGATTTTGGCGTCTTCCCAACTGTGGTTGCTGCGTTATCTTGTGGAATTCTGCAATTTATCATCCTGACCTGCCGTGTTAATGACTCCAGTGTGGTTTGTATTGGTTTTTTTTATTTCTAATTATTTTTACTTTTGGTTTGGACTGCATTTACTCTCTTCCTAGATTGTTTTTGGGAAGAGTTTGATAACAAATCGAGGATAATTGGACATTGAGGCCCAAGTTTATTTTACTTTCGTGACTGTGTTATATTTGTGTCACACCCTCGGGGCATCACAGCCTATTGTACAATGTACTACCCTAAAGGTTTTGATTAATGCCCACATCTTAATTTTAGTTGGAGTTTTCTCCTTTCTGTTCTGTGGGAGTCAAAGTAATGACAATTTAACATGTCCTGAACATGGAAATGTCCTAGAGAAGTCATAATGCAATTTGCTCGGTTTGAAATAGTGTTATTGTATGAACTCAGCCATTGTAGCTTTTGATCCAGAAATGTATAGTTTAGCGCAGTGTTCCTCAACCATGGCAACTTTTAAGATATGTGGACTTCAGCTCCCAGAATGTGCCAGCTGGGGAATTCTGGGAGTTGAAGTCCACATGTCTTAAAAGTTGCCAAGGTTGAGAAATACTGGCTTAGTGCACTGACACAATGCTAATCATTGTGGCGTACCTAGCAAGCCATGTTTAGTAGGATTGCACGGATTAAGATGCACAAATATCACACAGACACGCAACAAATGATCTAATAATTTACAGATAGTCCTAAATTTGCAATCATTTATTTACTGTGTCTCCCTGAAAATAAGACCCTGTCTTATAAATTTTTTGCAACCAAAAAAGGCACCAGGTCTTATTTTGGGGGGATGTCATCCACTGACTAACCTCACTTGCGCGCATCGTCCCTGGCCTCCTTTTCACTGTTAGAGGCCTTCAGGAACTTCTTCTGCGGCTGGCAAGGCTTTCCTGAAGGCCTCTGCAGCCGATAACAGAGCTCGGGATTGATCCGGAACTTTGTTACCAGCTGCAGAGGCCTTCAGGAAAGCCTTGCCAGCCTTGCCAGCTGCAGAAGAAATGGGCCGATGAGGCAGGTGTTGGAGTGTTGTGAGGCCTGGCTACAACTGTCCAAAGGTAAGTAGTAGAGCAGTTCCACTACCCCCAATCCCCACCCTAGCTTAATTTTATCCGTGCACTCTGGAATGGGTGGGATCTTAATTAGGGTTTATTTTGGAGGTAGGGCTTATATTGGGATCACATGTAAAAATCAAGCTAGGACTTACTTTCAGGGTAGGTCGTATTTTCAGGGAATCAGGTAGAAACCATTCACAGTGAGTTGGCTGTGGTAAGTTGTCATAAACACACACCCCTTCAGACTTCTCTAAAACATTGTCCCAAATAAAACTGAGAAACTGAGGCACAACGTACGTTTGCAGTGGAGGTTCTCATCCTGATAGAATCCCAGAGAACAGGCCGAGAGGCACAAGCCAGTGTGAGAAAGGACAAGGCTGGGGTCACAGGAAATGCAGGAAAATGGGCCTTCTCCTGTACAGGTTTTACAGGAAGGATGACACTCTGGAAAGGAAGAAGGAGACAAAGGCATTTAAAATGCGGGCTCTCAAACTCCATGCATAGGTAACAAGAAATGTGTTGGATTCAGAAATGAATGTTGCAATCTCCACTCAGCCTCGAAATCATGAGATCTCTAAACCATCCAGTCATGCCCTTATTGGAATCTGATTCCGAGGGAGAGGTCGAACCGCTGACAGGGAGTGGGAGTGTAACTCCAGTGGCTGTGGAGAAAACTGGGGAAGGGCACAATCCGGCTGGGCATTGAGAGGAAGATTCAGGGCCACCCCCACTTCATCCTAGGGAACACAGGGAGGAACGGAGAAGGGAGCAACATGGGTTACGGAGGAGAAAAGGGCCCTGATTCCCTTCATTAGCTGTAGCTGGGAAAACAGGATAAAGAGGGTGTTTGCGCACAGCACCTTGCTGGAAGCAAAGTCTGCATTATCTTTCTTTGTCAAGTTTTATCAGGGTTCTGACATCCTCCCAACTGTGTGTGTTTCATTATCTTTTGAAGTCTGCAATTCTTTATCCTGCCCTGTCTCGTAATTGCTGCAGCGTGGTTTGTGTTGGTTTTTAT